TGCTTAGCACGCTTCGATATCAAGCCACTGCCAAAAGCTCAAACCGTCAGGCAGGCGTTCGACGGCGTACTAAAGTTTTCGTACAATCTGGAAATCAGTATTTCCGATCTCATAGGCGACATTACTATCCGCGAAAATGACGACGAAGACTGGGACAGCTCAGTGGCTCAACATCGCCTGGTGACGTCAATTTCTCCGAATGTGAAGGTGGACATGAACAATGTGACGTTCACTCAGTACTGGGACGATGGCTCGGGGCCTCGTACCGACAGAACGATTGGCGATGAAGTGGGTATCGCAGTGTGCAACTACGTCGAAGAAGACGAGTTGTATCCGTATCACGTTACTGAGCGTGTGCGTCAAGATATTACGTTTCACGTCATGGTTGCTAAATATCCGCGGCGTCGGCCAAATCTGTCTGCAACTGCTGGCTCTCCAAATAGTGAGTGTGGGTCCTCTGCTAGCTATGAAACACAAGAGGACGTGGTGGTGGCAACGAGGTGGACATGTCTGCGCCTTCGGAAGCCTCCGTTCCCGCTGGACGATGACATTGCTGCGCATATCCGAGACGGAATGGAGCAAGTGGGTCAGTCGATGTTCACTGCAATTCGCCACTCGGTCAGTGGTCGACTAATGACTAGAAAAGGAATGTAGCGACTAGCAGCACGTGTATACAGTAAGAGACCGGAAGAAAGAAAAAAAAGTTAAGACAGCAAGTTTGAGGTTTTGCGTACAATTTGTATTACCGCAACAACGTGAAGGCTTACTAGCTTTTTCAGCCGATAATCACAATGACTTATGTTCAAGCTCCTTACACCCGCAGACTACCAGTTATTCATTGCATCTAGCAACAGAGATTGTTTCTGGCTTTGTGAGCTCTACACGAGAGTGATCGAGTTGTAACGTCACCTTTTATTGTCGGCATTCTGGGACTTACCAAACCTGACTGATATGTCTAATGTGTTGAGTGTCGTCGATTGCGCACAACTGTGATCATTGAAAATCGCGGTGATGCCTACATGCATTGAGAATGCAACAAGCGTATTGTCCGCAAAAATCCGCCAGACTAGCAATCATTTTTGAAACCTGTGCGTAATCCGACGTTTTGTGGAATAAAGTATACATTTAAACAGCAAATTTTCCTCCTTTTTTTCACTTCTGCCATTCAACTGTAACTGACTCCTCAATTTGGTTGTCCGCATTGCCCTATTTACTGGCAAAGCCCGTGATATGCCGCGTGCACCGAGCGCTGACCACGAGACTTGCGCGCCCAGTTCGCCGGCGTCTGCACACGCGCTGTTGTCCCTGATGCAGTCGGTGGCTCCTCCGCCCCCCACCTCGCTCTGGAAGGTCGACATCAAGTCAGAGACCCCCTCGGCTGCGTCTTCTCTCACGTCTTCACCTGCCGGCAAAAGTGAAATCGAAGACGAAAAAACCGCGGCGGTTAAGGCAAAAGTGGCAAAAGTGTCAAATGGCAAGCAAAAAAGCAAGAAAATTAAGGAATCCCAACCCAAGAAGCCTCGGAAACGAACCTACTACATGCGGAAAGAGGAACTTGCCGTTCTTGGCGAAGAATATGAGAAGCTGCAGACGGAAATGCAAAAATACAAGCGGCAAAATGGCATTTTGGAGGACAGGGAGAGGATGCGTCGCCTAGACGAGGAAAACAGGGGAATCCGCAGCGTAATTCACGCGCAACGCCTGGCATTTGCCAACACCCAGTCCATGATTGCTCAGTACATGCGGGTGCAAGAGCACAGTCCGTTTGAAACGTTTATCCAGTTGGGAAAAGACCCCGTGGAACGTCACGCCACGTTGCTATCGATGAAAAAAAGGAAATTGCACGACGCGTTGCAATTTTTAGTGGCAAGACGGAGATTTATGGATCCTTCGACCCCTTTTTCCGACAATCAGAAATTCGAGAACGCACAGGGAGATTTTTGCTACATGGGGTTCGATGTGACTCCGTTTGCCGGTGTACGGTCGGCACGTACAGTTTTTGACGTGTTGCTCAATTTTTCGTACAATTTGGAGATCAGTTTGTCAGAGTTGCTAGGAGATATTACCATCAAGGAAAACGACGATCACTGGGATCCTTCCGTGTCCCAACAAAAACTCGTTACCAATGTGGCAAATTTGGCAGAAATGGAGACGAACAATGCAATGTTTTCAGAATACCATGAACGAAATGGTCCGGCAGCTCTGGGCGTTGAGTTGCCCAATGAATCGGAGGATTTAGGTGCACTAGGACACGGAGACGAGCTCGGAGTGATCGCCTGCGACTTCGTAAATGAAGACGAACTGTATCCATACCTGTCTGGCCGTCGGATTCGGCAAGATGTGACGGTGTTAATGCTTGTATCCACTTGCACGAGGCCGAAAGTGAGGCCTCGGATGCAACATGGACCAGTGGAAATGGAACAGGTAGTGATTCTAACTCGTTGGTCGCTGCTGCGTATCCGCAAGTCGTCGATTCATTTGCCATTCGAAGCCGTCCAGCGTCTTCGGAACGGTATCGAACAGGTGGGCGAGGCGATGCTGAATAATGTACGCTACGCTTTAGCTCCACGGGAACCCACTCTGCCGTCAGGAGACTTACCACCGATGGCGATACTCCCAGTAGCACCGCCGCCCTCATTTGGAGGTCTCCCTCCGATCAGAAGATATTAACCATTCGACTCCAAGATGGACTGGAATATGACACTACTTGCGCAAATTACAATTTTTCTACTAATCCTACTTTGATCCTTCGGAACAACGCGTGATGTTCCAGGGTTTATGGTTGACACATTTTGACGATGCTGCTTCTTGGATAGCGTGAAGCATATCGTTGCCCATATTGATGGACGTCTGAAGCAGGAAATCCATTGCATTCGTCGAGGCGACCCCATTTTGATCCGGTCGCAATGTTAGCAACACCCAGCGGGTCATTACGAGACACGGTACGCGTTTGTCGTTGCCTTGAGTCCCGCTATGATTACGACGAGATCCTCTCGAAATCGTGATCACTGCGTTGACATCTTCTCTCAAGAATTCATCCGGTCGAAAGGGATGCAACTCGTCTTCATCCACTGAGTCAATTACCAGCAACCCAAGAGGTTCACTATGTCGCTCTTCACTGGGTTCGGACTGTGATCCGAAATTCGGAACTTGCAGTTCCGAAAAAACCACAAAATTCGATTCCGTGGGCAGATCCGGCGATGTGTCCACTTGGAGGCGACTGTGCACTACACCCGAGTCATCGCCAGTGTAGGGAGGCACCATCGTGCCCATACGCTTGGAGTATGCACAAGCAGCTCGATAGGCGTGTTCAATGTCCTTGACTTCCACTCCGGAGTCAAGTGGAGTCACGTCAAACACCACCGAGCAAAGAGATCCCGAGTCTGTAGGGAACTGGGCGGTCTCGCGACGTTGCTCGGCTGGGTCTCTCAAAAATTGTATGCGTTTGTCCATGAGCTGCTTGGCATCTCGTAGTTTTTGAGTCTTCATACTTTCCAACACTGAGCGGCGTTGCTGGATATCACAGCCGAGATGGATGAAGGTGTTGATGGGGCACTGATCCTGTTGTATCGAGTACTGGAAAAGTATTGTCAGTATGGGAAAAATATCTTGGTCCTAAGACATTAAACTTACCGCGAGTTCCGACAGTGCTGACTGAGCACTGAAGAGCTGGAAGTGCTGGTTGCGCACAGCTTCACGTAGCAGATGGTTGTGCATTTCTTGCTCGAAATACTTGTGATCTGTTCGTCTCACCACCGCTCGTTCAAAGCACTCGGGTCTGATGG